ATTCTATTCTATTCTATTCTATTCTATTCTATTCTATTCTATTCTATTCTATTCTAAATTCTATTCTATTCTTATTAAATTTCCAGATTATACAACAGTGGTGGGAGTGAATCTATCGAGATGAGGTGGACCGGTTGCTTTCGTGATGTGGAGATAATAACTTGGTCCTCAACACCAATAAGACCAAGGAGCTTATAGTGGACTATAGAAGGAACAGATGAGACATCCAGCTCTTGCTTATCGGTGGGGACTGAGTGGAGCAAGTGGCCAGTCTTAAGTTTTCTGGGTGTTACCATAAAAGAGGACCTGACCTGGGGTGTCCACATTGCAGCCCTGGTCAAAAGGGCCGAGCAGAGATTATACTACCTGAGACTTCTCAGAAAACAACAACTGAATGAAAAACTGCTGGTGACCTTCTACCGCTACACCATAGAGAGTATCTTAACTTACTGCACCTGTGTATGGTTTGCCAGTTGTACAGTGGCAGATGGGACAGCGCTCCAGAGGGTTAACGTCATTGCCCAGAGGATCATTGGTTGCCCTCTCCCCTCTTTGGAAGAGCTTTATAGCTCCCGCTGCCTTAAGAAAGTTCAAAACATTCTCAAAGATCCATCTCATCCTGGCAGCCTTTTTTTGAACTATTACCATCTGGCAGACGGTACAGGATAATAAAACAAGGACAAATAGGCTGAAAAACAGCTTCTATCCCAAAGCAATAACTTACATTGAATTCTACTGTATAGTGCAATATTAATGCATTAGCAGAGGTTTTCAATTCTGTGTATAGAATGTAAAGGATGTGTGTTTGTATTTTATTTTTATAGTTATAATGTACACTGAAGAAGGCATTTAATTTCGTTGCACGAGGTGCAATGACAATAAAGGAAAGGAAAGGAAAGGAAAGGAAAGGAAAGGAAAGGTGCTTTTCAAGAGGCAACTGGATAACTGGAACCAGAAAGTCCGGTAGCCTCTTGAAAAAGCACTTTTGGGACAACTGGAGTCTGACAACAGTAATTTTAAAAGCCCAACAACAATACGATTGTGGCTTACAGAGGTGGCTGGTAGACCAAGAAAGTTGCGTACTTGATTCCTAATTTTATCAAATTCCTGTTCATTTTAATGTTGTTGACATTTTTGCATTTTACAGTGCCATTGTAACTTTGAATGGTCACTAAATGAACTGTTGTAAGTTGAGGACTACCTATAGTGAGATGAGTAGCGAATAAGCTTAATAAATAAATGGCTTAAAAACAAATAATCTCAGAAGCATGGGTTCCCAGTTTTATCGAATAACTAATGTTAATGTTTTTAATATGTTTGCCGTTGTATAACCTTGTTTTTCTCGTTTTGTAAGCTGCCCAGTCGCTTTGATAGCAAGGTGGGAGGCATATCCATGTAATCAATGTTGGATAAATAGCAAATAACCTCTGTACCAGAGGTGTACTTGATTCTCAGTTTTATCCAATCCCTCTTCATGTTCACAATTTTAATATTTTTAATGTGGCTTTACAAGCTGCCCAGAGTTGCTTCGATAATGAAGGGAGCAGGAAATGCACTTAATGGGTTTCAAAATAAATAATAAATTCAAACCTCAGCCTCAGGCCTTCCCACTGGGAAATTAACAGTGCTGAACAACAACAAAATAAATCACCTCTCTTTAAGGTTGTACAGCAATTACAGATAGCTCTCAACTTAAAAACAGTTTATTTAGACACCTTTCAAAGTTACAACAGCACTGAAAAAAGCGAGTTATGACCGTTTTCCACACTTATGACCATTGCTGCATCTCCATGGTCATGTGATCAAATTTTGGGCGCTTGGCAATTGACTCATATTTATGACGGTCACAGTGTTCATTTGGTGACTTTCTGATAAGCAAAGTCTCTGGGGAAGCCAGATTCACTTTACAACTGTGTAGGCTGACTCTGTAAACTGCTTAGAGGGGGCTGTAAAACACTGAAGCGGTATATAAGTCTAAGTGCTATTGCTGTTGCCCTCCCTCCCTCCCTCCTTCCCAGTGATAATGCAATATTGCAGCAAGCAGTATATAAGTGCTATTATTATTGCCCTCCCTTCCTTCCTTCCTTTCCTTTCCTTTTCTTCCTTCCTTCCTTGTGGTTAGAGTGCAGTATTGCAGGCTAACTCTACCAACTGCCAGGAATTCAATCCTGACCCATTCAAGGTTGACTCAGCCTTCCATCCTCCAGAGGTCGGTAAAATGAGGACCCAGATTGTTGGGGGCAAGAGGCTGACTCTGTAAACCGCTTAAACAGGGCTGTAAAAGCACTGCGAAGCGGTACATGTCTAAGTGCTAGTGCTATTGTCCATCAAAGGAGTGCTAGGAAAATATATAAATAAATTCCTTTCAGATTCCTATTGCAGATAGTCTGAAGGCATGCATTTCTATGCTATGTATCAGAGCTGGAATTTGATGCCCCGAAATTGTTGGGGACAGTATCCATCCTTCTGAGGTGGTTAAAGTGAGGACCCAGATTTTGGGAGGCAAAAGGCTGACTCTGTAAACCGCTAAGAGAGGACTGTGAAAGACTTTAAAGCTGAATAAAAGTCTAAGTGCTATTGCTCTTCCTTCCCTTTCCTTCCCTAACTTCCCAGTGGTTAATATGCAATATTGCAGACTAATTCTGCCCACAGCCAGCAGTTAGATTCTCACTGACTCAAGGTTGACTCAGCTTTACACAGCTTTTACCCAGGTGGGTAAAATGAGGACCCAGATTGTTAGGGACAAATATGCTGACTCTGTAAACCGCTTAGAGAGGGCTGGAAAGCAGTATATAAGTCTAAGGACTATTGCTCTCTCCCCTAATCTCTGCCAAGACCTGGCAGGTTCATACCAAGGTTGTTAAAAAACAAAGGAACCAATAAGCCAAATGCCTGAGTTCCAGGTCAGGCAGGTAAGCCCCGTTGAAGTGTTGAATGGGTGTTTCACGAGGAAGAGGCGACACGCAGGCTGATCCGGGAAAAGCTTCCTTTCCTTCTTCCTCCTCCTCCTCCTCCTTGCGAAAGGTCAGCCGTTCCCACCTTCGGGGCTGCCGGATTTCAAGGCAACGAGGCGGACCGAGGAGGAAGGGAAGGCAAGAGGGAACTTTTTCCCCACCCGCGGGCGAAAACTCCCTTCAAACGGCATCGAGGGACGCGGGGACGCGGTCCAAACAGCACAGGTGACCCCCGATCCCGTCCGGGAGGCGCATTCCGACGTTGCCGCCCACCCCGACACGCGTGTTTATACCTGACGCGCGTCTCTGGCTTTCTCCCGGGAGACCCCGACCAAGATGCAGACTTCCAGCACGGCCGTGGGCAGCAGCAGCTCGTCCATCGCCCCAGCCCCCCCCCTCCGGGCCCCGAGCAGGACGTCCCCTCCGCTCCGCCGGCTGAAGCCGGACCCTTGAAGAGGCAGCAAAGCGCCGGCCTCCCTGTGAAGGAAAAGGGGGAGGGGCCGAGAGGCCGGGGGCGTGGTCACGGCCTCCCGGAGGAGGAGCCACGCACGCACGCGCGGAGGGGGGGGCGTCGAGGGCGGGGCCAAAGGAAGCGGGCGCTCGTGGCCTTTGAAGGAAAAAAGGGCGGGAACCTCTCGCTCCCATTTCTGACTAGTAACATAACGACACAGTTGGAAGGGACCTTATAGGTCATCTACTCCAGCCCTCCCCCCTCCCCCGCCCAAGCAGGAGACCCCCCCCACACCGTTTCTGACAAATGGCAGTCCAGTCTCTTCTAGGGATGGAGCTCCCACAACTTCTGAAGGCAACTTCTGTTCCTTTGGTTGAATGTAGACATAAGAAGGAATTTTCTGACAGTGAGAACAATCAACCAATGGAACAAAAGTTGCCTTCAGAAGTTGTGGGAGCTTCATCCCTGGAAACTTTCGAGAAGAGACGACTGCCATTTGTCAGAAATGGTGTAGGGTCTCCTGCTTGTAGGGGAGTTGGACTAGATGACCTACAAGGCCCCTTACAACTCTGTTATTCTTACTGCCTGGAAATTTCTCTTTATTTCCAGGTTGAATCTCTCCTTGTTCAGTTTCCATCCATTATGCCTTGTCTGGCCTACAGGTGCTTTAGTTTAGAAAATAGCTTGACCCCTTCCTCCTCCCTGTGGCAGCCCCTCAAATATTGGAAGACTGCTATCCTGTCTCCCCTGATCCTTCTCTTCACTAGACTAGCCAAGCCCAGTTCCTGCAACCGAGGTGGGAGCACCATCCCTGGTCTGGAAGTGTACCTGTGCTATTGCCAGTTCACCTTTCAGTCTTGCCTACTTTTGACTTCACAACAGCCCTGTGAGGTCGTCCTAAGGAAAATGCATGGCCGAGTCACAGAAAAGACCCAGCTACAGCATATCCAGGACCTGCTGCTTGGTTGCTTTTTAAGAAGAGATTGGACAACCATTTGTCTGAAATGGTATAGGGTTTCCTGCCTGAGCAGAGGGTTGGACTAGAAGACCTCCAAAGTCCCCTCCCCTCTTGTTATTCTGCTTTTAGATCATGCTCATCCAACCTTTCGGCTTGCCTGGGCCTCATTATATGAAAAGGAATTGTCTTGGGCCACATATGAAATATATAATTTAACATATAAACTAACAAAAAATAATAATTTATTTGTTTTTTATTATTTTGCAGGGCCACATTACTAGCTGCCCAGGGCTGCATGCAGTCTGTGGGCCGAGGATTGGACATGCCTGCTTTAAATCTTCGTTCTTGTAAAACCTGGTTGGATCTGCTGTGCAAACCTATGGTTGATAATGTTGTGCCAACCCAAGAAATTGCTTTCTTGGCATGGCAGAATGGATGAGTTAGAAGGGACCTTAGATATAATCTAGAGTTGTAGAAAAAAGAACTAGTTTGGTCTAGTGATGAAGGCACCAGGCTAGAAAGCAGGAGATCGTGAGTTCCAGTCCAGCTTTAGACATGAAAGGCGGCTGGATGACTATGGCATAGAGTTTCTCTGCCCAGCCTACCTGACAGGGCTGTTGTTGTGGGTTGAATAGGAGGAGGACGGAGATTAGGTATTTATTTATTTATCTTGTCGTGTTTATGTTTATATTAGAGGTAGAGACCCTTTGAGAGCTGCATGCAGCATAATTCCATTTTAATGTATGTCGAATCGTGTACATTCAAAGTGACAATGAAGTATTCTATTTATAAAAATAAAAAAGGAAGCATAAAAGTCTAGTAATTAAAATAAATGTCCAATGTTTCTCAGCTTTGTGTGTTAAGATGGGTGCATACTGGCTGCAACATCCTGGGAGTTAGTCTATACACCTTGAATTTGTTGAATTTTGTTGAGAATTTTGAGAATTAATGTCTACACATCTTGAATTTGTAGAGATCTGAGGTTTGTTAAGAATTTTTGAGTTAAAATCTACACCTTGAATTTGTTGAGATTTGTTGAGAGTTCTTTGAGTTAAAGTCTACACATCTTAAATTTATGAGAAATCCTTTCTGGGATTTGGAATAATGTGAACATGTCTGGATTATGTCACCTTAGGAAAGGCTGCATACATACATCAAGCGTTCAGTTCTGTAACAAACCAGAAAAAGGTGCCATCCCATGAACAATTAGTTCCCTTTCAAAGGGAACATTTTCTTTCTGTTCCATCATTGGTTTTTTCTTGGGTTTAGAGAAACTGTTCTTTCGAAACACTTCAGAGTTTTCTGCTCTGGGAAAAAACCCATCTTCATTTCATAGCAAACTGGAAAAGGGAGGAGCAGACCCACAAACACAGCAACGTGGCTGTCTTCCTCGTGACCAAGAGAAAAAAATCTGACTGCCGGTCTCTATAAGCATAAAAGAGAAACATTACCATCATAAAACTCACTGCTCAATCTGCCAGTTGCTCATCTGATACAGGTGTGGTGCTGGCAGGTGGAACTATAATTATTTACAGGATTAAGGAGTATTTTGCAAAGTAAATGGACTCAGTTACAACAGGGATGTGTGCCATGTTGGGAGACCTGAAAAAGGCTACAGAGGAATATACTGCTCCAATATTTGAAAGGCTGCCACAAACAAGAAGAGGTCAACTTATTTTCCAAAACACCTGATGGCAGGAAAAGAAGCAATGGATGGAAACTTATCAAGGAGAGAAGCAACCTGGAATTAAGGAGAGATTTTCTGACAGTGAGAACAATTAACCAGTGAAACTGTTTGCCACCAAAAGTTGTAAATGCTCCAACACTGGAGGGTTTTAAGAAGAGATTGGATTAAAGTCCTGAAGACAAAAACATATAAAGAACAGTTGCAGGAATTGGGTATGGCTCAGGGGTGGGATTCAAATTTTTTAACAACCGGTTCTGTGGATGTGGCTTGGGTGGTGGGCGTGGCTTGGTGGTCATGTTATTGGTTGGATGTGGCCAACTCAACATCACTCACATCGAGGCACGCATCTCCTCGCCTGGCCTCTCATCACTGTGGCGATGTTGCAACAGTCGTAAGTGTGAAACATGGTCATAAGTCACTTTTTTCAGTGCCACTGTAACTTTGAATGGTCCCTCCACACAAGCAAAGTACCAGCAAAGGAGGGAAAAATAACTCCAGAGAAGTTCCTGAAACAGGAAGTCTAGTCCTGCCAAGAATGTAATAAGGGTTAACGGAGAGGCAGTTTCTGTAAGCAACACCAGAATGTTTCCTTCCTGCCTTCCTTACAGGATTAGGCCAGTAATTTCTTCTAACAACTGGTTCTCCGAACTGCTTAGAATGTTAACAACCAGTTCTAGCGAATAGGTGCGAACTGGTAGAATCCCACCCCTGGTATGGCTCAGAGGTAGTATTCAGTAGCTTCTGACCTGTTCTGGAGAACCTGTAGCAGAAATTTTGAGTAATTCAGAGAACCGGCAAATACCACTTCTGACTGGCCCGCCACCATCTATTCTCTGCCTCCCGAGTCCCAGCTGATTGGCTGGGTCTTCTTTGGTTGCCCTGCGCAGGAGAACGGAGCTGGAAAGCAGGTTAGTGGGGTGTAGGGTGGGAATGGGGATTGTGTAGTAACCTTCCCTCAGGAGTGGGGAGGGAATGGGGAATTTACAGTATCCTTCTGCCACGCCCACCAAGCCATGCTATGCCTACCAAGCCACACCCACAGAACCAGTATTAAAAAAATTTGAATCCCACCATTGGTATGACTAGTCAAGAGAAAAGAAAGACTGTGTTGGAGTGGGGCATGATAGCAGTATTCCAGTATTTGAGGGGCTGCCACAAAGAAGAAGGGGTTGACTTATTTTCGAAAGCACCAGAGGGCAGGACAAGGAACAACGGATGGAAGCTAATCAAAGGAGAGAAGCAACCTGGAATTAAGGAGAAATTAATCAGTGGAACAGCTTGCCTGCAGAAATAATGGAGGTTTTTAAGAAGAGACTGGAATGATAGGGTCTCCTACTTGAACAGGGGCTTGGACTAGAAGACCTCCAAGGTCCTTCCAACTGTGTCCCGATTGACTGATTGATTGACAGCCACTTGTCTGAAATGATACAGGGTCAAGACATATCCAGTTCCTGCAACTGTTCTTCCTGCTATAGACAGAATCTCACTGAGGTCTCCCAGAACCCGTAATTGGCTTTCAGATTTCCCACCTGAATAATGGAGGACATTCTGGTCTCCTGTACAAGCAGGGGGTTGGGCTAGAAGACCTCTAAGGTGGCTTCCATTCTGTTAAATCTTGAGTCCTTTGGACAAAATCTCCGTGGTCCCTAGGAATCGATAACAATGGATGACACGCATAATTCAACGCCCTAGAGTCAGCGATAGGTTTGCTTAACAATGAATGATTCATTTATCAGCTGAGGTGATTTGCTTAATGACCCCTGCAAAAAAAGTTTTTAAAAATGGGGTCTGTGACAGGAGTGACCTGCTTTAGGACCATCACGGACAGGGTCCATTAATGTTTGTAAGTTGAGAACAACCTGAATGCAGAAAGCACCATTGTGTGGTTGCAATAGAAGCTGTGTCCCTTTTGCAAAAGTAGTCCCTGGCTGGTTGCCATTCAGTTAGTGACTGTTCAAAGTTACGACGACACTGGAAAAAGTGACTTACAACCAGTCCTCACAGATACAACCATCACAGCTTCCCCAGTTGCAATCTCCTGGGGTCACGTCATCCCCTTTTGTGACCTTCTGACAAGCACAGTCAATGGGGAAGCCAGATTCACTTAACCTTGTTCCTTACTTAATGACTGCAGCTATTATGTCAACTATTATGTCCAACTATTTACAAAGTCTGCATTACTACCACTATTAATCTTCTCATCACTCCTTATCACCCCTCCCCTCCCACTTGTGACTGTAGGACTGTAACTTTGTCACTTGTATCCTTACGATTTATATTGACTGTTTCCTAGTATGATTTGATTGCTTATTGTACCCTATGACTATTATTAAGAGTTGTACCTGATGATT